ATCCTGCCGTGTCTCATAAATTGTTTCAGTGTGGTTTGTGTTGTTTTTTCCTACTTATAATTTATATGTATTTTGAGTTTGAACGGCACTTCTTCCTTTTCGCAACTGTTTGTGGGGGAGGTTTTTTCTTCATTCAAGGATAATTGGAGTTTTGAAGCCAAGTTGGAGGCATTAAAGGAACTTTATTCTATTTTTGTGACTTGGTTATTTTTTGTGTCACGCCCCGGGGTCATCACACCCAAGAAGAAACAGGGATGTGGCAAACATCTCAGAAGAGACCCTCCCTAGTTTCTTGGGCTGTAAAGATGAGAAGGGGGAGAAAGGTAATTTCAGGCTTGCAAGAGTCTCTTAATGCAACCTTACAATAAAGTTAGACCTGCTGCTTTTAGTCAGACATCTAATCTGGACTGCCTCATAAGGCTTAGAAACTTAAGAGGCAAGACCCTAAGAAACAGCGGTTGTTTTCTTGTTTGGGGGCGGCTGGTTGCAGCGGCTTCCAAGCAAAACCCACCGAAGTCTTCGCAAGCTCTCTTGTCTCCTTTTTTTCCTTGCCGATTTGCTTCCTTTGGTCCAAGCGGTCGTGGATGTTACCTTGCCACCCATTAAGAACACAGTTGTTCCTTTCTTTACGGTTTGGGGAGGGGGAAACAGACCGACAACGGTTAAGAGGGTTAAACCATCTGCCAATACAGCCCTTTAAACTAATAAATTACGTGGTCTACCACCGTAGACGCTCTGGTTCAATCTGTTCTGAAGACGTCTACAACGGCAGCAGCAATAGAGAATTATCTAGCCGGCGTTCAGGGATTCCCGGGGCCGCCTCTCTCTCTTCCCTCCCGCCCAGAAATTTGCTATAATAAGATTCCTTGGGGGAATCTGATTGGCTGTGGCTGATTCAGAGTGACAGGACGGAGTAAAGGGATCAGGTAGATGGCGAGTTGTTGCTTTTATTGGAAGAAGATGGGGAAAGGCAAGCCATGAATTGCTTTGCTCCAAGTCTCTCTGATCCGGGCACGGCAGAGAATTGACCCCACAGCAATGGGAGGGGAGTGGGGGGGCCCTAAGAGGCCAGTTCTTGATTTGCGAGAATAGTCTGCGCAGAGTCCCTGGGTTCCTTCAGTTGTGGCTGCTGGTTTGAATTGGTTCCTATAAAGGAGAATATTTGTAGCTCAGGATTGAAATGAGAAGTCCTTAGTGCTCTCTGAGCTGGGTGGTTTTCTTGCAGACGTTTCATGACCCAACTAGGTAACGTCATCAGTGCTAGAAGGGAGTGGGACTTTCTCTCTGTTTATATACAGAAGCTCTGAGCTGGGTGGTTTTTCTTGCAGACGTTTCATGACCCATCAGTGCTAGAAGGAAGTTGTGCTTGTGGAGAGGAGGAAGAGGGTAAGGAAAATAAAAGAGAAGGATGAGAGAAGGAAGGCAAGGAAAAGGGGGGAGGATGTTGTTCATGGGGGGGGGGGGGGACACAATAGACCATAACGTTGGTTCTCGTTGCAAATTCGAGCTGCGAAGATGGAAAAACCAGGAGCGTCTGACATCTTGAAGCGTTGTCTTCCAAACTCCTACCGTCCCCCCTGCGTTCATGGATTTCCCATTTCGGGCATCTCATGTGAGAAGCACAGATTTGCACCAAATTTCTCCAGCCTCCAGGCCAGGGTTTTGGGGTGAAATGATTCCCCCTCCCCGCTTTCTCTTCTCTGGCAGAGAAGAACGAAGAACGGCGTAAGCCTACGGACGGCCCTCTGGACCGCGTGATATATATCAGCTGCCGAAACGGGAACGGTGTTACCAAGCACGGTTTTGCTCTCTTCCCTTCGTCCCATTTCTTTTTTTTCTAACATGGGTCTCAAAGAAAAAAAAAAGATTAGGTGGCTTGGAGGTTTTGTTTCTATTTTTATTCTGCAGGTGTTGGGTACGGCGAGACCATTTGCTGGGTGTGAGTTGGATGCAATTAATTGGACTTGCCGGCGTGATTTGTGATCATTCCTTCGATTTTGCTTCTCAGTCTGAAAGGTGGACAGCATTTACACAAATATCACTATGGAATTAAGCGTCTTCTTGAGATGCGTCTGTATCTGGTGTAGTCATACACAAGAATCCACACTCACTGGCACAGATGATGTCATGTAGTTGGGTAATGAAACGTCTGCAAGGAAACCACCCAGCTCAGAGCTACTGTATATAAACAGGGAGAGAGCCACACTCCTTAGCACTGATGGTATTCCCTAGTTGGGTGATGAAACATCTGCAAGAAAGCATCCAAGCTCAGACAGCACCAAGGATCCCACAGTCATCCTCCTCTATGCCACCCACACCCTTCTAATGTAATACTGATGATGTTCCCTAGTTGGGTACTGAAATGTCTTCAAGAAAACAAGAAATCTCAGAACTACTGTATATAAACAAGGAGCAAGCCACATTCACTACCTCTGATGATGTTCCCTAGTTGGGTCGTGAAACGTCTGCAAACAACCAAGCTCAGAGTGCACCAAGGACTACAGATTAACAACACTGGGTTTTCCTGTAGTATTTCCAGTCAACATCCATATGGACTAACAGGCTTCCTTCCCTCCTCTCCTATTCCGGCGTTCCCTCTTAAACCATCTTCCCTGAGCCACTGTATGCCTAGGACTAATCACAATCCATTACCTTAATGGTCCAGTTATTTTTCCTTCCTCGGCTCTCCAGCTCCAAATTGTAATTGTAAATGTGTAATCCACGCATTATCTTAATTGAGCCTCCGATTATGTGGCGCGGACAGTTAAGAAACCGGGACGAGTAAATTGATCATTTTTGGATTGGCCCGACGAGCCTGTTCCAAGTCCCCGAAACAATGAGGCGCTTTCAGTGGGGGACGTGCTGACCCTCAGGACTGTAATTGGCTCGATTTTCTCCAAATGGAAAGGAAGACGTCTTTGGGGCATTCCTGTGTACTTAAATATTTGGCCCCCCAACCACAAAAAAAACGAGGAATGCGGAGAGAAGAAAGTTGGTAACTCCCTCCAAGGCCTTTAAATTACCGACTGAGAATCGAGATCAGCCAAAAGAACATGCATTTCCGCAAATTAGTTTGTCCCTTAGTTTATGGTCCGTTCTTCCAAAAAAAGCAGACTCGGAGGAATGGTGTTTTGAAGCGTGAGGACCGGTTGCAAACCACTTTTTTTCAGTGCTGTTGTAACAGGGTTGTGGAGGGAAATGGGCAGTTCAGAAATAGAAAATATAAATACAGAAATAAAGAAAATAAACTCAGAGCAGTCGCTTATACGACTGGTTGTTAGTATCGGTAACCCTCTGTACCGCTGTCTCTGCAGGTGCTGAATTACTTAGATGGAGGGAAGGAGGGAGGGAGGATGGATGGATGGATGGATGGATAGAGAGATAAGTAGGTGGGTAGTGGGTGAATGGATGGATGGATGGATATACACACACACATGCACACACACATATATATCCATCCATTCATCCATCCATCCACTCTATCTATCATCTATCTATCTATCTATCTATCTATCTATCTATCTATCTATCTATCTATCTATCTATCTCTTATCTATCTATCCATCCATCCATCCATCGTGGCCTCTGCTTGCAAAGATTTTCTGTAAACCAGACCCTGCGAAGTCCCTCGTCTCCAGATGAAAAGGCCTGCCTTCCTAAAAATAAAACGGCCAGCCTTCCCATGATAAACCTCTCTCCATTTGGCCACATTGTTGGTTGTCATCTTCTCAGTCCCTTGCTGATGTCGGAGGCCTCATCACGCTTGTTGTGAAAGTCCTTCCATTTCCCAGACAAAGCGTAGGACGTTTGGCCAGAGAGACCACAAAACACCATATGGCCAACTGTGGTCTAGTTTCTTCCAGAGCCCATGCTTTCTAGGGGAAATGCTTCGGGTGGCATCAAACGACACTTTTTTGGGAAGGGAGGCTCAGTTTCTGGGCCAAAATCCTCCTCATCCTGGCTTAAGGAAGCAATGGAATGAAATAAAAGGAGGCCCTTTCTTGGTGTTTGAACATCCCTCATTCTTTTTAATCTAACTTGTTAAGGTTTTTTTTTTATAGAACATAAAAATACAAAGAAAGGAACATAAATAGAAAGAGGAATGGAGGGAGAGAGAAAGAATAAAGAAAAAGAGCATAGAAGTGCAAGAAACAAAACAAAACAAAAAAAGAAAGAAAACTCCTCCAAAAAGCGCTTCTAACTTCTTTTATGAAAGATATAAATGAAGCTTAAATTCAATGCTTACTTTAGAATTCTACTATGGTGTCCATTTTTCAAACTGTCAGTAATTTTTTACCAATCTTCAAATCCACATGTCATAATTTGGTACGGATCCCCCCCCCCCCCCCCCCTTTTTTTACCCAAAAAGCCAACAAAAGCTTCCCTTGGGGGTTACATTTGGCAAATTTTTTTTTTTTTAAATTATTCTAATGAGAGGAGTTGAGCATTTTACCTTCTCTGCTAGTTCCATCACTTTTACTAAACCGCTCTTCTGTTGTCGGTATTCATTTTTTAATATTTTTTGTATCCTGCTTTATTATTTTTACAAGTAACTCAAGTTGGCAAACAAACCTAATCCTCCTTCCTCCTTCTATTTTCCCCAAAACAACCCTGTGTGGTGGGTGAGCCGTGCTGAGAGGTTGTGACTGGCCCAAAGTCACCCACCCACCCAGCTTTTATGCTTAAAGCAGGACTAGAACTCCCAATCTCCTGCTGGCTTTCATGCCTAAAATGGGACTAGAACTCACCACCGTCTCCTGGTGATTGGCCCACAGTCACTCAACCAGCTTTTATGCCTAAAGTGGAACTAGAACTCTCCCACTTTCTGGCCTGGTGCCTTAACCAGTAGACCAAACTAGCTATCCTACTGTTATGGTACAATCTTCACAATACAAAGTGGTGTTTCTATTACCCAAAATAAGATAAAACTACCCTGATTCTTTCCTAGTATTTTGTCCCTCAACCTCATGAGCATTTGTCATTTTTATTCTTATTTCCAGCTACAGTATCACACCGGCCTGGCCTCTGGTCTTCTGAATCAGCAGTCCTTGAAGAGGTCAGCGAACCAGATGGGGGTCTCCGCCAAGCGCAGGCCAAAAGCTCAGCCCACCACCTTGGTGTTACCACCTCAGTAAGTGTCCACCGTGTGCATGTGTGAAAGGCCTTTGAATGAAACCTGGTTTACAAAAGGAATCCTGGTTTTTGTGGGTCAGAAGTGCTGGTTTCTTTCGGGCCTGAGGCAGGACTAGAACTCACAGCCCCCTGGTGATTGCTGCAAAGTCACCCAGCCGGCCTTCATGCTTAAGGTTGGGTTAGAAATCACAATTTACCACTTTCTAGCCTGTTGCCTTCAACATGAGACCAAACTAAAAGGTAAAGGTACAAGTTCTCCTCGCACATCCATGCTAGTCGTTTCCGGCTCTAGGGGGCGCTGCTCATCTCCGTTGCAAAGCCGAAGACCCAGCGCTGTCCGAAGGCGTCTCTGTGGTCACCTGGCCGGCAGGACTAAACCCCCAAGGCGCATGGAACGCCCTTCCCTTCCCACCAAAGGGGGTCCCTGTTGTTCTACCTGCATGTTTTACATGCTTTCGAACTGTTGGGTTGGCAGGAGCTGGGATGAGTAATGGGCGCTCACTTTGTGACGCAGCGCTGGGGGTTCGAACCGCCAAACCGCCGACCTTTTCTGATCGACAAGCTCAGCGTCTTAGCTTGGTGCAATGTGGGAATTGGGTCAACCTGTTGTGGGGATACTACCCTGTCAATGGAGGGTCCTGGTGCATCTTTGTGAAGTATGGAGCCGCTCTGTGGAAGTAGTTTGAGATGGGCAGAGATGGGTGAGGGCATAAAAGGACACAGGGAACGTTTCTTTTCAGTTTTCCACCTAGCTGCCATCGTTTGCAGACTGACGGATTGTCCTCTGTCTCGTGTGTGTGTGTGTGTGTGTGTGTGCATACATATATGTGTGATTTTTTCCCCCAGCCGTCCTCCCCACCCAACAAAGCCGGCTCCATGCTTTGCTTATAAGTTTCTCTCCGATTTGCTCATTATTCTCCATCAGCCTGACAAGAAAAATGGAACGAGGGGCTGAAATTAAATAATTGCTTAAAACTTTGAGGTGAGCTGCTCGTCCCCCCGGATTTCCCTACCGGGTGAGGAAATAGGTTTTATGTCTGGCTGAGAATCCTCCAGTCGGGACCTGATTTAAAAATGGCACTTTTTTGGGAAGGGCGGGTGGAAATGAGAGACTGGGAGAAGAGGGAATAAGGGGAATTTGGTGTGTGTGTGTGTGTGTGTGTGGAATTGCTTTTGGGTTTCTCGCCCTCTCTTCGGAGATTTTGGGGAGTGTTGTGGAACGTCCATGATTCGATCTTGAAATTTGACAGCCCATATAACCAGGTTTAATCATAGTTTGGAGAGAAGGGGGGGATTTGGACAAGTGCTGACCTCATTTGATGCTAGAACAATGTGATCCAGACAAGCAGATTTTCCAAATCTTTGGTTAGCCCCTTTTTAAATGAAAAATAAAAAAATGATCAAACTGCAATGCTAAGCATCTCGCCGAGGCAACTATAATGAAAACATGATAGAAATCATTAAAACAAAAAATAAAATTGAGAGAGAGAGAGAGGGAGAGAGAGAGAAAGAGATGCCATGAATGAGAGAGATGACATAAATGGATGGATGTGGATGGATGGGTGGATAGATAGAAACATAGACAGATGAGTGGGATGGATGAATGGATGGATGGATGGAAAGAGAGAGATGTGCTATGAATGAGTGGTGTTATAAATGGATGGGTGGATTGATGGATAGATAAATGGTGTGTGGTTGGATTGATAGATTAGATGGATTGATAGATTAGGTGTGTGAGAGAGATGATGGATGGATGGATGGATGGATGGATGGATGGATGGATGGATGGATGGACGGACAGATAGATACCTCAGTTCCGGACCTAAAATATATTTATAGCGCTAGCACCTAGACTTATATACCACTTTCCAGTGCTTTCCAGCCCTCTCTAAGCGGTTTACAGAGTCAGTCTCATTTGACCCACCTCGGAAGGAGGGAAGGCCGAGTCAACCTTGAGCCAGTCCTGCCCTCTAACCACTGCGCCACTGCTACTCGTAATGTGCTTATTTAATCAATTTATATAGCCAGTAAGGGCTTTTATTTATGAAAGGCAAAATGGAGGTTTCCCCTGGAATCAGCCCTGATCGAATCTCCACACCGTCAGCTCTCTTTCAATGTCATTCCTTGAAACTGGGCTGAGGGTTATTTTCCCTCCTTCCTTTGCTCTTTCCTTCTCCCTTTTTCTCCTCTTCCTCCCCTGTAAAACCCCCTCAAAGGGGGGCTGTGACTCTTTCCCCTCTTTTTTGCCTGCAGAGTTGAGAGTCGGAAACAGCGTCTCCCCCAGATTGTAAAAGCATTTAGAAAAACCGAATTCAGTGGAGAATAGATCCATCCTGTTCCATGCTCTGTTTTATGTCGCTTTCCACCTTGAGCTGGTCGCCTCCCACTTAATCAAACTTCCTAGTCATTCTGATCAGTTTTATATGCAACCATCAGTCTTGGGTTCCAATAACTAACTCACTCTCTCTCTCTCTCTCTCTCTTTGAGTGGAGCCAAATTTAGTCATGTAAAATGCAAGACGCGCAGCCGTTAGATTGACATGCTTAATTAATTTCACAACTAATGCTCATTTTATGTCTGTAATGTATCATTGGCCGTAATAAAGAATTTCTCTGAGCTTTTCCATGGTCATATCAACCTGAAGTAGATTAATTTATACTGGTTAGCATTCTTTTTCCTTGGTTGTTTTTTTCAAAGTACAGCTGAGCCTGTAAGTACAAAACTGGAGAATTTCTTCTGGGTGGATGGATGGATAGACAGATGGAAGATAGGTGGATGGATGGATGGATGGATGGATGGATGGAGTGATAGATGGATGATAGGATAGAAGAAATAAATATAGATAGATACTGTAGATAGAGATAGATAAATAATGATAGAGTGAGAGAGATATGATAGAGTGATAGAATGATAGATTAGAGGAAAAGAGATGGATGGAGGATGGATGGATGGATAGATAGATAATGATAGAGTGAGATAGATATGATAGAGTGATAGAATGATAGATTAAAGAGATGAATGGAGGATGGATGGATGGATAGATAATGATAGATATGATAGAGCAATAGAATGATAGATCAGAGGAAAAGAGATGGATGATGGATGGATGGATGGATAGATAATGATAGAGTGAGATGCAGAGTGATAGAATGATAGATCAGAGGAAAAGGGATGGATGGATAGATGCATAGATAGAGATATACTACAGATGGATGGATGGATGGATGGATGGATGGATGGACACAGACACAAATAGAGATGATAAGATAGATTTTACAAATAGATAAAAGGGATTAATGGATGGATGGCTAGATCTTAATTTATAGACAGAATTGGTCCTGTATCCAACCTTTGTTGTCTTCCTCTATCCGTACAACTTTGTAGGAATTTTGTCTAATTCTAACCGTGGGTGCAAACAGTGATTTGCTGTAGCAAAAAAAAAAAAAGTAGGAAATAATATCTGCCAAAGTAAAGATTTCTATTCCGGAGAGATCGGAGAAAGCTAAACTTCGAGTAATAACTTCGACTCTTCTAAATGTCTTTACTACGATACTGATTTTGCCTTTCCCCGCTTCCTCTCCCTCTCTTTCTCTCTCACTCACAGGCCCTTACTGGCAAACGCTGCATTAAGTTAACAATATTCATTAAGCACCGCCGAGATAATATGCAATAAAGGAATAATCCACGGGCCTAGGTCTCTGCTTCTCCCTGGAAGAGTTAATATAATTAAAGATTAAAATACTGTGTGCTTTTTTGAGACAGAGATCCCTTTTTTATACAAAAGGGGAATTGCATTAATAAGGAAGAGATCATTTTCCAATAATGTGCAGTATGAAAGGAGATGTTTTTGATATCCTGCTCGTGCAGCTTATCATGCCGTCCCTCGCAGGCTGAATTTTTTGGACATTAAATTAGCAAGTGGGAAAAAACCCAAAACCCACCAGAATTGATTTTTGAAGAATGATACAAGTTGGGGGACATACTCCCTGCCTCTTGTCAGTCTATATAATCAGCTTACGTTGGCTACCTGATGTTGGGGTGATTTAAAGGAATGACTTACAACCATTTCATTTAATGTCCATTCGAAGTTACGACGGCACCAGAAAAAAGGCACTTAGGGTTATTTTTCACACTTACGATGGTTGCAACATCCCCATGGATTCAGTTGCCGAATGTCTGAATTTGGATCCCGTGATCGCGATCTTAAGGGTGGACAACGGTCGCCACATCCCGGGGGAGGGGGTCATGTGATCCCCTTTTGCCACCTTGTGACAAACAATCAGGAAGCCAGATTCACTTAACAACCATGTGGCTAACTGAACAACTGATGGAGGAAGAGCCTGTGCCTCGGGATCCATCCGATAAGGGCACGGGGAGCCCTCAGCTGCATAACAGACAGAGGAAGAAACCGAGAAAGGAACCTCCCTAACTTAGGTCAGGCTTCGAAAAGAGACAGCGAGCGAATCTGCACTTTCAGACCTGCAAGATTCTCTTACGTCTTCATGACTCCTGAAGTTTCTTGTCTTCTCCCTCCAAATGTTACGAACGCTACGTGGCCAATTGTTAGGGACTGGAAGCAATTTAAGGTAGCTGCGATTAAATCTTGCTTAAGTTCTGATGATCTCTGGGAGATCGCAAGCTAAGGCCCTTTGCTCTTTTTGTAAAAGAGAAAAAGAAAAGAAAGGGATTTTGGACACTTGGCAATAATGGTTGACATCCCAAAGGAGCTCAGATTACTTTTTCAATAAAGACCACCTCATCCCCAGCCTTCTTTAAAGTCATTGCTACATAATTTTCTGCCGGGAATGCATTAAGTAACCAACAGCTTGGGTATCAGCCAAGCAATGTTTTCACACTGAATTATTTGCTGATATTCTGCCTTAGTTATGTGCCCCTCTTTCCACTTTTTATACTGGTCTTTTCGTCTTTCAATTTGTCAGAGAGTTCTTTATGCAGCCATGCTGGTTTCTTTTGAGAGCTGTTTTTTTTTTTTTTCCC